GTGGAGTGGGTGGTCACCAAATTTGAGCAACTCTTGTTATTATTTTGTTGTTTAAAGTTTGTCAATAGAGTATAAAATTTTGTGTTGCTCTCTTATGTATTATGCGTCAGGATTGAAATTCTAGCTTTAAGCTGAGGTTTGTTCCTTGTTTTCCAAACATTTTTGCAACTACACTGAGTAATTGAATTTTGTTTTTGGTGAAGAAGCCCTCGACCTTGTTTGCTTCAAAACTCCATTGTGTCCTCTGAATTCTCGATCAATATGAATAATTGTGGTCCATGAAAAATACAACAAATAATCATGTAGAGTTCAACGTATTTATGATCCAACAACATATTTTACTAATAGTAAAAGTAAGAAGTGAAAAAAAAATTAGTTTAAATCCATATTTTTCTTGAGATATTGTCTGACACTCCTTTCTAAAAACTTTAATGATAGGCGGAGGTCCACAAATATATATATTTTTTTGCTAAGGTCTGCACACATGGGCTTTTGAGCAAAGCTACGCAGAGCAAGACCATTCATTTTTGTTCTCTGAAAGCCTCTTGTTGATGGTTTCTAGCATGCAATACATGATTCATCAACAGAACACTATCAAACATTCTCTCAAGTCTGCACACAATTATCCAATCTTCAAACAGCTTCTGTTTCCATTGAATAGATCTGTTCTCCTCCTCCCTTCTTCTTCTTCTTCTTCTTCATGGTTCTCTCTTCCAACCAGATCCACTTCCTCACACTTCCACGATTCTCCCTCTTCAAGGTTCTCATTCAATTCTCTCTCTCTCTCTCTCTCATATATATATTTATCAATGCAATTGTACAATAACTTTTATTGTGTTTAGGGTTTAAGTGTAATCTTATGGATTCAATTTATAGTTCAATTTTCTCTCGATTAGTCAAAACATAAAGAAATTGTGGCAAATCAGATAAATGCGTTAAAACACAGAGAGAAATTGTGAGGCCAAATTAGAAAATTTTAACCTTAGAGAACACTCTTAAAACCTAGAGCGAGATTCTTCAAAACACCGAGAATTTTGCTGAAATTTTTCTGTTTTTGAAATTTCTCTAGATTACAATTTCTCTAAAAATTTGAAGGGACTTCAACCATTTGAAAATATTGTATTCATTTATCTCATAAAATTTAATACCAAAATCTTTAAAAAATTCCCCTTATATCTTCACCAGAATAATTTGCTATGTGTTTTTTTTTTATTTTTTCTCCAATTTATTTTAAATGTATTTTCTTACATAAATTAATAAATGAAGAATTGCACGATTTGTGACATAATTTAAAATAAATAAAATTATAAACAACCCCATAATTCTGATTAATTCCAGCTCATATCAAGATTATTAATGAAATTTTACAAATTTTTTTTTTTTTTATGTTGGTCAATCATTGGTTGTGGTAAGGTTTAAAATAAAAATAATAACAAAAAAAAGAAAAGAGAAAAAAAAAAAAGGGAATTTGAAGGCACATCACGTGAATGGCAACGTGTATGGCTTACCAGGTATTATTTGAAACAATTACTAGTTGACATATAAATTTTTTAAAATAATTTTTTATAGATTATTTTGCAGTGATGTAATTTTTCAATTCCGATTGGCAGCTTGAAAAGAAGATGGCTCGAATTACGGTCCGAGTCCAAAACGACTCGCTTTGGATATTTTTTTTTCCTCTTCTCTCTTTGAAGGTGCAAGAACACAGAGAGAGAGAGAGAGACGCTGCGTACACAGAGAAGAAGAGAGAGAGAGAGAGAGAAGAGGAAGCTAGCTTCATCAGCAAACACTTCATCAAACACATCATCTTCATTCAACAAACCCTTCATCAACGCATCATCATCATCAACAACATCTTCATCAACTCATCATCACAAGCATCTTCATCAACATCGTCCACAACATCATCAATCATCCAAATCCATTCGATTTTGTGAAATCTATATCCACTTAAACAAGAAACATGATTTTTGCCCGGACCATTTTTGGCCTACCAAAAAACAATTGTTGTCGCCAAAGTCACTGATTGGCTACCAAAAATAATTTAGTCGGCAAAGTCAACTTTTAGCTACTAATTTTTTTTAGGTAGGGGAAGTTGATTATTGGCGACTAAAAAAATTTAGTAGCTAAAAAATATTACAATTGGGCCGACTAAAAAATTTTTAGTAGTAAAACATATCACAATTGGCGACTAAAGAAAATTTAGTTAGCCCGTAGAGGTACTTTAGCAGCTACTAAAACTGTTTGGTAGCCGAAATGAAAATAAAAAAATTATTTTTTAATCTTTGCCGACCAAAATTTTTGGATCGCCAAATGTTAAGTTTCGGCGACAAAATTTTTTTTTCGCGTGTAGACTCTACTTTTGGCTACTAAATTGTTTGGTAGGAAATGAAAATAAAAAAAGTTAATTTTTAATCTTTGCCGACCAAAATTGGTGGCCAAAATGTTAAGTTTCGGCGACAAAATTCCTTTTAGTCGCTGTAGACTACTTTGGCTACTAAAATTTTTTGGTAGCCGAATGAAAATAAAAAATTAACAAAATAGTATTTTATTTTATTAACAACAATCACCATTAGTCTCCACTTGAAAATTTGACTAAACAAAATAGTTATTTTATTTTATTTTTATTTTTATTTTTATGAAGAGGTTGTACCCCACCATCCAAAAATATTAATATCTTATTTTATTTTTTTATTATCTCAAACTATATAATTTTTTTAAAAAATTAATTATTAAAATAATATGAATTTCTTATTTGTCTTTTTTTTAAATCCGATTAATAATATAAAAAGTTACAATTATGACCATTGATATTTCTAAAAAATATACTATCAAAAGTAATTTTGATAAATTAATAATTTAAAATGTAATAATTGTATATAAAAGAAAATTAAATTCTAAAATGAGAGCAACTTGTTATTTCTGTTTTTGTCGATAGTTTTACACTGCAAAAATTTAAAGCATAGTTACAGATTAGTTCTGATGATATTAATTTTTAATAATAAATTTATATTTTTAAAAAGTACAATTAAACTATTATACTTTTAACATATCATATTTCATAACATTAATAAATATAAGTCATACAATCAAAATTACACAAATAAAAGACAAAAATACTCAATTATTATCATTTAATAAATTTTTCAATATTGATTAACAGTACTAATGAATAATCATTTCACAGACCAAAAACAATATTTAAAAAGTTTTTAAAAAATTTCATTAATCAAAACGACGGGCTAAAGTGTGTAAAAAAAATTCACTCATGAACTTATGAGTAAATAAATTTTTGATTTTGTAAGACTATGATTTAATGTCAAATTTTAAAATTTTTCTTATATTTTTAATAATTAATTTTTTCAACTTTATTAAAATTATTTTACGTTAGACTGAGTAACAGATAATCAAACACCTATTGGTATTTTAATATTTGGAGGTTTGAGACATTTCTAATTTAATTTGGGGGAATTTATAAAAGTAATTGGCGACTAAAAAAACAACGGGTTTGGCTGGCCAGAATTTTTTTAAAAAAGAATTTTTTTTCTTTATATTTTTTTCCTTTTTTCTTTCTTATTATTAATATAATCTATAATAATAAGAAGGAAGATTTTTAAAAATATATAAATATATGTGAGATACATTTAGATTCAAAGGCTCAGATCAATTTTGATAAACATCAATGGTTCGGATGATAATTTATTCCCGCCCACATGCTCTCTCCCTCTCCCACCTACCCACGTCTCCTCCCCCATTCCCTCTTTATCTCTCTCTCTCTCTCCCTCCTTCTCTATTCTTATTTCCTACCCTCCCTCTCCAACTCGGCCTCGATTTCTGCCTCCCCCCTCTCCCCCCTTCTCTCTCAGTGCTCGCTGCGCCCAAGGTAGGGTTTCAGATTGAGAACTCTCTCCCCCTCTCCCCCCTTCTCTCTCAGTGTTCGCTGCTCGCAAGATAGGGTTCCGATTGAGAACTGGGTCACCGAGTTGGCTGGTTTCTCAGAATCGTGGACGAGTCTCATTGGTTCCACACCAAACCCACTACTCTCGAATCTGTACGAAGGTCATAACACTTTTTTTTTTTTGGCGTGTGTAGGTCAATGAAAGTCTTATTGTAAGTAATCTGATCAGAGCGTAGTTAATGTCGAATTGAGTTTGATGATTTTGTGATTGATTGGTTTTATTCAGGTATGATGAGCTTTGGATGCCATTGATTTCTGATCTTACGGTTGGATCAACATCAACTCATCATCCCCCAATGATTCTTCCTCCTATTGATATTCAATGGGTCTGGTTTTGTCACACCTTCAATCCGGTAAGCTATTATTTGATATGCTCTAATTTGAACTCTGTTCGGTTGCCCAGAAAAGTTCACAATTTGGGCTAAGTTAACTTTTGGGATTTGGTTTGCTTTTCCTCTGTTTTCTGAGCACCCAAACACAATGTAATCTAATATAACAGTCCATTTTCAGGTCTTTTACAGGCAATACTGTGATTCAAGGTTCTCAAAAATCATAGCAAAACTATTTTGGACGAAGAGAATGAAGAGTGCATTGAATAGATGCAGAGATATTTGGATCCATAGATACCCATCTGAGCAGTTCTTGTGGTTGGTACTTCAATTCATTGTGTATATACATATTTTTGGTTGTGTTATTATATACATAAGTTTGTATGCTTGAAAAAAACTATTTCACTGGCTCTAAATATATATGATACATATAAACTATTTTTCTGGTAAGTAAAGTAATGTACCTATTTATATATATGTATCAGTGTATGTGTTTATTGTGTGTAATTAATTAGTCATTATATTTCATGGATGAGTAATGTCTCGCTTAATTCACACTTGTGATTCTGTTTTTGGAGGTTTATAAGCGGTATGTTAAGCGATTGCGGAGAAAACTACGATTCGAAGAAAAAAGAAATTCTAATCAAAGACGAGTAAGTTTTGATCTCTTTGATTTTGATGATTTTTCCTTCAATTGGTTTGTGAAATTAATTTTATGGACAATTCGTTATGTTTGTTAATTTAAATATTATCAGTTTAAATCATATTCATCAGCATAATAATTGCAAAAAGAAAAAAAAACACAAGTGACACTACATATGACTTAGACTACAAACACTTCTTCAAACATCTGCAACTGCCCTACTAACCGTACAACCAGCCCGAAATACATTACAAATGACTTAGATTTTGTCTTATAGAAATTACCAACCTTATATATGTAGCCTATTTTGTGCAACACTTTGGTTTGCTCTGTGTTTTGTTGATGAGAATGAGGAAAATTGAGGTTAAGAAAAGGAAATAGAGTTTTATTATCCTGTTTTATGCTGTTTTAGGGCCAAAAAAACTATTGAACTTAGTACATACGAACTTATGTTGGGCTAAATTCACAGCGGCCGTGGGGGGTGTCTTTTCTTGGGTACGAAATAGTGAAAATTTCAGAATTTAAAACTTTAATATCATATTTGCCTTTTTCTTTTTGTTCATATATTCCCTTTGTTGTCAATTTGGGGCATTATTTCTTCTTTGCATCTTTTTTTTTTTATGGCTTGGTTATATTGTATGTATGTAATTATGTATATATGCATATATTTAGATCTATTTATCAAAAATATATATATATTTAGATTCCTTCAGAAATTTTCTTTGTTGCTAATATAGATAGGTATAAATGTTTAATTTCCTTTTGCCTTTTATAGGTGCTCTCTGATTCTGAAACTGTGCGGTGGTTGAACCACACAATTGAAAAGATTTGGCCTGTTTGTATGGAACAGATTGTTTCACAAAAAATCCTTCTCCCCGTCATGCCTTGGTTCTTGCAGCAGTACAAACCATGGACTGTGGTATGAGTGTCTACTCCCCTAATACCATCAACTACACTTTTTGTTGCATTTGTTTGGTCCTAATTGCCTTAGATGTTGGGGGAGACCCCTTTCCATTATATTTTTGTGCTGATTTCACCACCAGTGGATATTTTGTTTGTTTCTAAACTCATCATGAGTAATACTCCGTGACATAAATTTGGTTTGTAGCTTGATTCAAGTTGAGTAACATTTTACCTGTAACACATGTATTCTACGTATGAAATGCCCATGATTCATGAATATCATGTTTTATTGATCCCATGAGCAATCTCATAACATTCTTATGATTAGGTACTAGCAAGTTGCAACTGTAGGGCCATTGAAATTGAACATACCCGGTGAAGATTTAGTATTTTGTGAGGATTTTCATTTGTAGGGCCATTGAGTGAGGATTTTCATTTCTCTTGGAAATTGAACCATTATTTTTTATTCTAGGTTTAAGTTTAAATGAGTCATGTTTATCATAGCATTTTAACTAGTTTGATACGTGTTTCTAACAATCAAGGCAGGTTAGGCGATTAATAGACATCCTTATTTATATTTTATTTGATTCTATTGTTACGTTTTATGGTGCCCAAGTCGTGTTATAATATGCTGTGTGAAGCACAACGTACTAATTCAATAAACGCGGAACATTTAGTATTTTGCCTCAATCGCAAGAATGCTCTCTATCGTTGTTGTTGATTTGCAGTATGGCGCAGCAACGACGGCTTCTAAGAACTCATGGGTATGTCAATTTCAGTATTACATTTAGTATTTTTTGGGGAGTATATGTAGGAAGTATGCCTTCTTTGATAGGAATACTACAGCATAATGGCACTGTAACCATAGGAACATTACGTTGGTCATGCTTGGTAAAGTGTTGTTCTTATGGATTTTACTTGATATTTTGATATGATGTTGCAAAAATTGAAATTCAAATGGTCATTAGTTTATTAGTTTAATAGAAGCTATGCTAATCTTTTTGGGTGTATCCATCTTTGGAGGCTATTATGAATTTAACTGAAGAATGGACTATGGTTTCCATGGTGATGAGACAATGGCTGGAAGAAAGTGAGAACAAGAGATAACTTTTATTCCCCCAAAAAAAGATTTATAACTTGCTTTCCTATATAGTTTGATTTAGAAGAATATTTCCATGTTTAGTTGTAAGGATTTGTATTTGTTGATAACTTTTGGAAGATCTTTTGTGGTGTATTGTATTATATTTTGATTTTCAATTTGGTAAAAGAAATGGAGCTGTATCATTTTCTATGGGTTGATTTACTTGGAAATACTTGTAATTTGTAAAATGTATTATTTTTTCTTTAGATAATATTTGTGAAATGATTTTCACACTTTTCTTTTAACCTTTCACAACGGGAGTGTGAGAGGCTAACGGGGGAGAGTGAATATAATTTCTCTAATATTATTATTCAATAGAAGTTAGATCCATTGCAATATTTTGAATTTTATCAAGGTCAGTTTTGTGGTGATTGGCATTTGAGGCCACCTTTATTATCAATTCTAACTTGCTCTGGAATTTTCTGTTTCTATTTACAGCATTCATGGGCAATGTGCAGCAACTATGAAATCTCTGTTAAGAGTAACTATAACTTTGAAAAACCTTTCTTGCACCTTGCCAGGAAGCTTGCAGGGTAATGGAATAGTACATTGTTTGTTATTTTATTTTTTGTTTATTTATACTGGTGGAATTGTAGACTATTAGATAAAGATAAGCAATTAGTTGCAGGGGACTATTAGATAAAGATAAGCAAGAAAACATCACAAATAATTATCTTTATCTTTGCAGGGGAACTCTCCAAAGGAACCTTTTGAATTAATATCATTAGAAAAATGAAAAAATAGTGTGATAAAAAATCCATCAAAGATAGTGTGATAATATCATTAGTTGCATCATGATGTAATGAAAAAATAGTGTGATAAAAAATCCATCAAAGATAGTGTGATAATATCATTAGTTGCATCATGATGTAATGAAAAAATAGTGTGATAAAAAATCCATCAAAGATAGTGTGATAATATCATTAGTTGCATCATGATGTAATGAAAAAATAGTGTGATAAAAAATCCATCAAAGATAGTGTGATAATATCATTAGTTGCATCATGATGTAATGAAAAAATAGTGTGATAAAAAATCCATCAAAGATAGTGTGATAATATCATTAGTTGCATCATGATGTAATGAAAAAATAGTGTGATAAAAAATCCATCAAAGATAGTGTGATAATATCATTAGTTGCATCTAGATTAGGTGCATTTAAACATATAAGAAAAATTTGATTAAAATATGAAAAAAAAATCCACCAAAGATTAAAAAATACAAAAAACAAAATTTCGTAAACAAATTTCAAATTTTATTTTTTGGTGGTGGTGGTGGTGGTTCACAGTTCTTAAATTTTTAACTTGTGGGGAACATTAGAGTCCAGGAATGAAAATTTATGAGTTGCTGTTAATGATCAATTTGTGGTGTTTCTTATCCCTTTGGTATTCTTTACAGGCACGAAGCTGAGCTTGCTGCAGCGGCTAGCCAGCCCCTTCCTGATGATGATGACGATGCATTTGACTAATGCTCATGACTTTAGCTTTTTGCTATCATTTTTCGTGCTCCTTTAGTTAATATGAGTTCTAAAAAAAAAATTTCAACGCTATCGAAGGATTTGTGTATGAGAGGTGAATGTATCGCGGAGAAGAGACCATTTTAGTTATTCTTTAGCCATTGTTTGAAGTCTGGTTGTGGTTGTGCTTTGTGGTTTTAGTCAGTCAGTTCAGTACTTTATTCAGTTCACTTATCAGTCGTAATCAGTTCAGTTATCAGTCATAATCAGTTCAGTTATTAGTCATAATCAGTTCAGTTTAACAGTAATTAGTGTTTATCGGTAAGCAGTGGTGAGGGTTATTACGGTCTCCCCTCCTTATAAAGAGTTTAGTCCTCTAAACTCGAGTTACCTTCGTTCTGGAAGAAAACAGGATTCAATGGAAACAGTTCAGGATATCTTTTAGCCATGTCCTCTTCCCTTTCCCAAGTGGCATACACACCACCATGGTTTTGCCAGTCGACTTTCACCAGTGAGATCGCTTTGTTTCTCAACTTCTTGATTCGTCTGTTTACAATCTGTATAGGCCGTTCCTCGTAAGTGTAGTCATCACTCAACACTATACGAGTAGGCTCTATTACATAGAAAGGATCCCGGAGGTAGTCTCTCAACATAGAAATATGGAAAACGTTATGCATATGCTCCATTTCAGGAGGAAGTGCAACTTGATACGCCACCGGATTGATTTTCTCAATAATTTCATATGGTCCGACGTATCTCGGTGCTAACTTGCCTTTGACTCCAAAACGAGTCTGGCCTTTCATCGGTGTCACTTTCACAAATACGTGATCACCCACGTCATACTCTCTGTCTCGTCTTCTGACATCAGCATAACTCTTCTGTCTGCTCTGCGCAGTTTTCAGTCTCTGTTGTATCAGTTTCACTTTCTCAGTTGTTTCATACACAATCTCGGGCCCAAGCAAAGGCCCGTCTCCAACTTTTGCCCAGCAAATCGGAGATCTACATTTTCTGCCATACAACGCCTCGAAAGGCGCCATGCCAATACTCGAGTGATAGCTGTTGTTGTAAGCAAATTCAGCTAATGGCAAATGGCTTTCCTAGTTTCCCTGAAAATCAAGGACACACATTCTCAGCAGATCCTCTAGAGTCTGGATGGTCCTTTCTGACTGGCCATCTGTCTGAGGATGATAGGCACTACTCAGTCTCAGTTCAATACCCAGTGCAGTTTGTAGGCTTTGCCAAAATCTCGATGTAAACTTCGAATCCCTGTCAGAAACAATGGACACAGGCACTCCATGCAGTCTAACAATTTCATCAATATAGAGTATAGCCAATTTGTCCGCATTATAGATTGTCTTAACAGGTAAGAAGTGAGCAGATTTAGTCAGTCTATCAACAATAACCCAAATCGAGTCCATACCTTTACTGGAGCAAGGCAATCCCACAATAAAATCCATAGTAATATGTTCCCATTTCCACTCCGGTATCGGTAAGGGCTGCAATAAGCCTGCGGGTCGTTGATGTTCGGCTTTAACTTGTTGGCAATGAAGACATTTCGATACAAATTCAGCGATTTCCTTCTTCATTCCCGGCCACCAGAAATTCAATTTTAGGTCTTGATACATTTTCGTATTCCCTGGATGGATAGAAAATTTTGAGTTGTGGCCCTCCTGCAGAACTCTTCTTTTCAGTTCAGTATCATTCGGTACACACAGTCTTTCTTGAAATTTCAGTACATCATTCTCAAATTTGAATCCCGGTCTAGGTTTAGATTCTCTTTCTTCGATGATCTTCTTCAAGAAGTCATCCAGTTGCTGTTTCTCTTTAATCTCTTCAATCAGTACCGGTTGAGCAGAAGTAGCAGCTAAGGTTCCACCTTGTTCTTTCAAAACAATTTCAATTTCAGATTTTTCAAGGTCACGAAGCAGCTCTTTCTGTCCAGTGAGTAAGCAAGCTAAGTTTTCAATTGATTTCCGGCTCAATGCATTGGCAACGGTATTGGCTTTTCCCGGATGGTACAATATCTGTAAGTCATAGTCTTTAATCGATTCTAGCCATCTCTGCTATCTCATGTTTAGTTCCTTCTGTGTGAAGAAATATTTCAAGCTCTTGCGGTCGGTATATACTTCACATGTCACCCCGTACAGATAGTGACGCCAGATTTTCAGTGCAAATACTACTGCGGCAAGTTCCAGATCATGGGTCGGGTAGTTCTTTTCATGCGGTCTCAATTGTCGGGAATCATAGGCAATTACTCTCCCATTCTGCATTAAAACACATCCCAAACCCTTATGAGAAGCATCACTAAACACAGTATAACCATCCGTACCTGAAGGTAAGGTCAGAACAGGTGTAGTCACTAGTCGAGTTTTCAACTCCTGGAAAGCAGATTCTCTTTGGTCAGTCCAGTCAAATGATATCCCCTTCTGAGTCAGTTTAGTCAACGGTAAAGCAATTTTGGAGAAATCTCTGACAAATCTTCTGTAAT